TGTGACCTTTTGACAAAATAAAAATTTTTAATCAAGCCACCGCCCCCCTCCCCCCCCCCCGTCAATGGGGTCCCCCTTTTCCAATTGAAAATCTGGTCACCTTAGGCTAGCCACCGGACCAGCAGGAGGTGTGGCTTCCAAAGATTTCCTCAATCTCCAATAGGCAATCAAGATTAGGTTAATACCCAATGGTTACTCCTCCCACACTTCTCGTTGAAACATGCAGTTCAGGTAAGTCCAACTGCAATTCTCCGAACTACTCAAAATTTCCACTACCGGTTCTCCAGAACTTGTCAGAACCTGCTGAATTTCACCCCGGTGCGCGGGGAACCTTTACCTTAAGAAAATGGAAAATGATGCAAAATCATTCCTATTTCAATCAGGATAAGTTTTAATATTATTCTGAAGTAAGAAAGGAAGGGAGGGAGGAAGAAAGAAAAGAAAAGATGAAAGGATGGATGGAGAGATAAATGGATAGAAGGAAGGAAGCAGGGAAGGAAGGAAGGAAAAAAGGGAGGATGAGAAAGAAGAAATAAAAGATTTGCATTCTTCACTCCTTCCCTAAAAAGGACATTTTCCCAAGTTAGAGAAAAAGATTTCATTTAGTATTTATCCAATCTCTGCATTATCTGGGACTGTGCCATGTATGGCATACCGAACATGGCTGAAAAAGCCGAGCGAGGGGAGATTGGAGGCCGTGAGTGAGCTGTGCTTCCAAGCCTTCTGAGGCTGTCCGAAGGCCCCTTGGCTGGGAGGAAGCTCATGGCAAAAGGCCTCTGTACACGTTCTCAGGCTCCAGGCCAAAAGGGCTACAAATGAGTCACGCATTTTTGGAGAGTTTTGGGGCTGGGAGGGGGAGGGGAATGATGTCATGGTCAGAGTCCAGCATTCCAAAGGAGCCAGAAGAGAGCGGCCAATGATCCCAGAGTGGAAAAATTCCAGGCATGGGAAGAATTTGGTCCTGGGAAGGAGTTTGTTCCAGGGAAATTCAAGAGAGGAGAACTAGGCGCATCCCATGCGATTTAAGTTTACCTTTAACATATTGCCATGAGTAAACTGCATATTTTTGATGTCCTTGATCCTGTTGGCTAAATAGGGAGTTTCATGCCTGACAGTTTTCTGAACTTTGATTCTTTCTCCACGTTGGTTGCACCTGGGGGGAAAGAAAAGAAAAAAGAACATTGACATGGCTGCCTCTGCTCTGACCATTCCTGGCTTGCTGTATGATTTCAGGAGTCTTCCCCAACCTCTCATCTCCCAGCTGTAGGACTACAACTCCCATGAGCCTGGATTTGAGGTCATACTGCTGAAGATGTTAGCAGTCCTACAATGTCAGGGACATCTTGAAAAGCTTTCTCTAAAGGGTCGTTCCCCACCCCAACTTGCTTTTAGGCCGTTCCAGCCCCAGGATTGGGGGGCAATTTGGGTGACTTTGGGCCAATCCTCCTTGCTCACCCAAGTCCACCTTGTAGGGTTGTTGTTATGGGGAAATAGGAGGAAGATGTGTTGGGTACATTTGCCACATTGAATTGTTTGTGAAAATAATAAAGGTGGGATACAAAGAAATATAAATTTTATAAATGTGGAAGCAATCAGATAAGCAAAGCTAGAATTCATTCAGCTGCTTCAACTCTGTTTGCCTTAAGAAGGAGAAATGGCACTTTTGAGGGTCATGGGGAACACAAGCCAGGGTTCACTAATAGCCAACATCATTGGGCATCTTCCAAGACCATCATTCCAGGAAGGGGCTCTCAGCCAAACTCCAATGTTTCCTTCCCAGGTTTTGTTGTTGTTGTTGTCTTTGCTGTATCAGCTGCTCTGGTGAATTTGTTTCTTCAAGAAACTCAGGAAAAGCCAAGAAATGGGTGGAGGGTCTCTGTCAGCTGGGCCAGGAGGGACCTGCAAGCCAAGAGCATCCAAAACAGAGCCAATGGGCTTTTTGCTTTGGAGTATAGAAGCGAATGGCCACAATCTCTCTGCTTTGAAGGCTGCAGGAGAGTCACTTGCAGACATTAAGAACTGCCATCAAGTCTCAAAATAACAAAAGAATACACCCCCATGCATGCATGCACAGCTCCCACATGTGCCATGCTTCCATGCATGCACAGCAGAGACCCGAAAATCAGGTGGCCAGTGGGAGGCAGGATGCGCCTGTGCGGTGGAGCTGATTTGGGGCGATGGCCTTGCGTGCCCCTAGAGAGGGCTCTGCCATCACGGGCCTATCCTGACGCTTTGCAGACTAGATGATGGACAAAAAATCCTTTATCTCAGGATGGTGGGGAAATATGTAATAAGCCATTTTATTTCATCTGAAAACATCCAACTGAATTTATTCAGGATCTGATTCAGGATCCAATCTGGATTGGTTGCAGGGACCAGAGGTCTTGTCTTCTGAGCTTTCGGACTAGATAGAGAGAAGCTTCCTGAAGATGGGCTCCAGCACAGAAGACAAAACCTCTGGTCCTGGTTACGACCCAGGTTGGATCCTGCAATGTTATTCTGGGACTCATATATTCGTGAGGATCCGATTCCTTTGGAAAGCCTGCCATCTGTAGAACAACAAGGGAAATTAAAGTAGATCCTATTTGTCATATAATCAAGTGAAATTTACACCTGTACCAAATTAGGGCTGCATCAGGTAGGATGCACTGAAATGAAAGGCTAAGAAACCAAGATAGCAAGAAACCTGGCTTATGGCTGGATTTTCAGGTTATTTGAGACGAGGGGTAACCTTTTCTGAATGAACTGGCTTTCTGTATGGGAGAGGGCCCCAAGGGTGCTTTTCAAAAGGCAACTGGACTTTCTCTTTCAAACCAGCAAGGTCCAGAAGGTGGATGGGTGAAAGAGGCTATCTATGTTAAAACAGAACAGAGGAGCAGGGGTGCGACACCACCTGTCTTCTGTCTACAACACAGTCCTTTCAGCCCAGTCCCAAGAAGGTTCCACACCTATTTCAGATGATCCTTAGGTGGCCTCAACAATTCTCAGGGAGCGGCCGACCAACCTTCAGGGTGCTAATGACTAGATGACTGGAAAGACTATGAATCTTTCCAATCCCCACCATTCAGACAGAACTGAAGAAGCTTCTTGGATGACAAGTGAAATGTTTTCAAGGAAAACAAAAACCAAGAAAATCCAGTCACTTTTGCGACAACCATGACCTGGAAGATTGGGAATTTCCACATTTAGGAGAGAGCCTTAGTATTTCCTAGATTTCCAAATGGCAGCACAGATCATGGACCAAATTCTTCGACAGCTGCCTTAAACCAAAGGTTATTTTCTTCCATGATTTTCACACAGTTCTCTTTAGGGCAGTCTTTATTGAGAAAAATGCAATGGGGTTACAAAAATTCCAGCAACTGAACTATTTCCCATTTAAAACTAATCTCTAAAATACTTTTGGAGAGTTTAATTTTAAAAAATCCTTCCTATGATTTAGGAAAAAGGAGTATTTTCCACTGCTGATGGAGAAATTTGTGGCTGGTTATTTATATAATTGTTTTCTGAATCCTTATCAGCCTGGGAACCAATTATTTCATCAAGAGACTATTTGTATATTATATTTAGTGCACCAGGGGTGACAGTTTCATAGCTGCTCATAACTGGTATTAACATATCCATTTTTGGTTTAGATCACCACTAGCTAATCCCAAAGAGCGTATAATACAGCCATTCTTGAAGAATTTTCAAAAGTTTACATTAATGTAAACTAAGTCCACCAAGTGACTAATACATAGCAATACCATGAACATCTCTGTGAAAGCTATTTCTTGCATACCGTCACAAGTAAATAGCTAAAACTAGATCAAGTTGTATTAAAACAAGGAATAGAAGGAAATTTGACGTAGAGTAGGCAGGAGAATAAGGCACATTTCAATTTTAGAATAATAACAGATTTGGAAGGGACCTTGGAGGTCTTCTAGTTTAACACCTGTTCGAGCAGCTGACCCTATACCATTCCAGTCAAATGGCTGTCCAGTCTCTTTTTAAAACTTGCTTCATTTATTTCATTTTATTAAAAATCATTTGAATATTGATATTATAAATATAGCTTTCATTTTGTTACGTAGCAATTTGAGCTTTTTCATAAGGGTTTCTTAGCTTTTCAACAATAAGATATTTATCAGAAACTTCTCAATTCTAGTGGGCCTATTTAATTGTTTTAAGTCCAAATGTCATGAAATAAGTTTGAATCCTCTGAATTGCAACCTGATCCTTTGTCCTGACATTAATCTAGTCAATTTGAGATTAATGTCAGATGCAAAGGATCAGGACCATTAAGTTGCAGTTCAGAACATTTATTGCTCAAGCCTGTATACCGGAATCCAGGCAACTAAAGTTCACTACTAATATGGCACCAGATATCGGTCAATGGAATCCAAAAGGGTTTGGACTTGAACCATTTGTGGCAACGTAATGACTCTAAGCTGATAACATGCTTAACTCTGCCTCCCAGGTCTGCCTGGTCTTCTCCTACAATTGCACTTTTATTGCAATGTTGCAATCCCATTTATTAAAAATGAAAATGTATTTATTTATTTTATTTATTTGCCACTCATCTCACTATTGAGTGACTCTGGACAGCTCACAACAGCTTAATAATAGTTAATATATTATTAACAAGTATTGGAGCGGATAATATCTGACATGTCACTGGAAGGAAAAAGCACAAAACTATGTCTCATTTATTTTGATCATGTCATACAGGAGAATTCACTGCTGAGAGCAATTAAGAGTTAGTGGTAAGAGGAAACCAGGTGGACAAAGAACACGATGAATGGACACCATCAAAGCTGACAACAGCCAGATCATGGAACAACTCAAAGAAGTCGTATAAGGTTGGAGAGACCTGGCCCTGAGTTGGACACAACTGAATAGATAACATCATCATCAACATCATCAACATATTATTATTGTTGTAGTTTAGGTTTAGGTTTAGGTTTTATTAGAATTTGTAGGCCGCCCTTTTCCCTGAGGGGACTCAGGGCGGCTCACANGGGGGGGTAGACATTTCCTTCCAAACCAGGTAACATTATCAGTGCTGAAAGAGAGTAGAGTTTGCTCTTATTTTGATACCCTAGTGGCTTGCTCTGTCAGAGTTGGTGGCAGCCTTCCTTGATTAGGCTGTTATTTACTGTTAGCTTATTTGTCTGGTAGTTCCTTGATTGGGGTATTATTTACTTCTGGATTGTTGCTCTACTGCTAATCTTAGTGTTAATTTCTGCTCATATGGGGGTTGGTTGCTGGCGAGGAGGGGGTTTAGTCTTTTTTCTTGGAGAGGAAGGATTAGAATTTGCTTCATTCGCCAAAGCCTAAAGTCTTTGATGGTCAAGAATGCCTGGCCCACTTCTATAAAATCTCAATGTTCTTTCCAGTACATAGCAAGTAACATTTCTTCTATGGTTTTCAAAATCTTGAGAAGCCCATAAATACTGTTTTGGAGTAATAGAGGACGTAAGCAACACTAAAGAGCAAGCAACATCATCCCACAGTGATTCAATCCATGCAACTCACTCTACTTGTGCAATCATATCATGATGCATATGAGACTAGTGTGGCTTTTGCTGGATATCTGCCAGATATACTAGATACTGTATATCTGATTACTTACTGGTTGTCTGCATGGTTGCAGGGCTCCCATTCCCAGTGTATGGAGGGCAGAGGCCATCCACTTGCTGTGCATTGAAGGCTGTGCTCTCTTCCTTTAGTGACCAGCTCAGTATTGGAAAAATCAATCTCTTTTTCATAAATGTGAGGTTTCTCTGAAGAGGAAGAAAATAACACAGCTAGGTAAGCTTTCTTGAGAAAGAAGTCATAAGTATACATGAAGCAATAAAAGACAAATGTCATATCTGCCACAACTTAAACTCCTAATTAGAAACGATCCTTGATTCCATTTGTTGAGAAAGGTATTGTTTTATTAGAAGTCAAGTGTGTTGCAGTCATGCATAGCCAGAACTGAGAATCGTGTGCCAAAATCCCTAAGTTCAACTTTTCCCTTCCTTAATTTCCTCCCATTGCTGATGTCCCCATGACCAATCAGGTTCAAGCAAGACATTTTCAGAACGGTAAGCACAAGTGTAGGTTGGTATGCAGCTGCCTTCTTCTCCCAGCTGGGTGACTTTGAGGCAGCATCTTGGGGAAATTCAGAGGTTACTTTCACTTTCCCCCAAGCATTCCCTCTCCCATCCAGCCTCGTTCATGGTAGATTGTCAATGCAAAAAATAAGGAAGCGTAAAGTGACAGCTGACAACTAGGATCTTCTTAAAGATCTATGCAGTCTTTAAGACCTGTGGACTTCAACTCCCAGAATTTCCCAGCCAATTCTGGGAGTTGAAGTCCATAGGTCTTAGAGTTGCCAAGATTTGACACTCTTGGTCTTAGATTATAAGATGTTATTTTCCATGTAAGACCTTCAATATTTTTCCTCTGCATCTCCCTTTCCCCAAATTTAAGGACTGATTCCTGCTCTCTTTTCATCTGCTACTGATTTGAAATAAAAACCATCCTCAACCTCTAAATTCAATATAGCCACCTGTCTTGGTGAATTCTGGCCAACTTACAAAACATAATTTTGTTAGATGGTTAGATGACCTAGACATTGGTATTTGAACATAGATCTTTGTAATGTTTATATTCTATTGTATTTTATTAATCTAGGTAAAATCTCAATGGTGCTTTTTTTTTCTTCAAAAGGCAGCTGGGCTTTTTTTTCCTTCAGGAAGTTTTTCTCTTTCTTCATCAAGAAAAAGAAAGAGAGAGAAAAAACTAGTCCAGTTGCCTTTTGAAGAAAAAAACAACTTTGAGACAATCATGACCTGGATGAGTGAGAATCTCCATAAACTAGGTAAAATGTTAACATATATTGCTAGTCCATGTATGATATGCCATCCGGTAAATAAATAACAAAATATAAACTAATCCTAATGATATTATTATGATCATACTAATAATATAAACACTAAATTAAAGCAATTAAAAAACATAAATAACACAGAAGGCAGACAGCTCAGACTAAACAATAATTAAAATAAAGCAGGACATCCATCCCTTAAGCAGCACAAATACAAAACAGTGTCGGCCCTTCAGATGAGTTGAATTATAAACATAGATGCAGAGAGCTGAAGAGACCTGGTCTGCACTAAAATTTGCTCAATATGTCTTTGGTGTATGTTACAGATTCTGTTCTACAGAGTGTTGGAAAAAATAATCTGCATTCTTTCTCTTTTTGTGCCTGTGTGTGATTTACATACTCTTCCCAAACCTGGGCTGCATTAACACAAGTGAATCAAAACTTTTTTGTAATGTTGCCACAGGGTCAGTTTAAAAAAATGTAAACTTAAAGCTCGAACTTCTGTCACTAAGCAATGCGGTCATTAATTGAGTTGCTGCAAATCTGATAACCCTTTTAGCTATGGTCATTAAATGAATCACATAGTAGATAAGTGAATCCAGCTTCCCCCATTAACTTCGCTTAACTTTCTCGTGACCCTGGGACGATGGAACCAATGTAAATACATTCCCTTTGCCAAATGCCCAGATTTTAAGGGATGTTGCAACAGTTGTGAGAGGACTAGTCGTAAGTTACATTTTTCAGTGCTACTATAATTGAACATGGAATGGATGTAAGTAAAGGACTATCTCTATTCTTTGTCAGCAGCTCTTTTGCAAGTGTTGGTAATGAAGAAAAGATTGAATTTTGGTGAGCGAATGACAAAAATGCTGCACCTTTTTGAGTGTTTCAGGCGATGAGCAAAAATGCTCAGTGAAGAAACACATACTGATTGTCCTTGACTTACAACAGTTCACTTAGGGACCATTTGAAGTTGCAATGGCACTGAAAAAAGTGACTTATGACTGTTGCAGCCTTCCCATGGTCATGTGACTAAAATTCAGATGCTTGCAAATTGATTCATATTAACAACGGTTGCAATGTCCCAGAGTCATGTGTTCACATTTTGTGATCTTCTGACAGGCTAAGTCAATGGGGAAGTCAGATTCATTTAACAACCGTGATACTAATTTAAATTTCTCACTTTGCAACATAAACTCTGGATTCAATTGTGGTTGTAAGTTGAGGACTACCTGTACATTGCACAGCAAAAGTGCAACCCTGCTTAAAAGGTCAGGAAGAAAGGACTTATAAGAGATCTTCTGGTGGAGAGTTTGATTTGGAGAGGCATTTTCTCTGCTTCTGCATCTCAACTGCCTTAGCCAGTCTGGAGGGACATGAAGGTTTTGTCAAGATAGTCTCATTCCAAATGCTTAGCTCAACAATCTTAGAAGGAGAGATTAAACATATCTAGCACAGAGACAAAATCTTTTCTATTTGATGACAGGCGTGAACAGATAAATGCTTGAATTCTTTGATTGTAATAATGGATTTTTCCACTTAGCACTCAATTAAAACAATGGCTTATATGAATTACAGATGCGCTTTTCATTACCCAATTAATTTTTAAAATGTAGATTGCATTAAATATTATGTGAAACCTGAAATCAGGCCTAATGAATTAGGGAATAAAGTAATCACTGCTGGAGAAACAAAAGAGCAATTATTTACTCTAACCTGGAAAGATAAAGCTATGGAACACACTGTTTTCTTTAAACACACACACACACACACATTTGCACACATAGTCGCATGACTACACTATGATGGAGGAAGTTATAAAGACAGTCTAGGAACCAGCAATGAACGGAAGGTCTTGGGGTCAGGAAAAGAAAGTTCTCTTTGGTTGATTGTTATTGAGAACAGATTGTCGGCAATAAATCTGCAATAAGAGGTTACTACGGCAACCAAGTTTTCTAGCTGCTTAGGTCAAACATGCAATTAAATAGTGGCTGCCACAAAAAGGAACATTTTCAAAGTTCTCCACCCCCCTGCAGAGATTACTACAAAAAATATGAAGTGACATTATCTGGCATAGCTTAACCATATGTTTAAGACTGAACTCTGCTGTTCCTTCCTATGCATAGTTGTTCATCACTGCCACTCACTTGCCGACTTGTCAACTGGCTATCTTACGGCAGAGTTTCTTACAACATTTCATTCCAGTGAGGGTCTTCCAGCAGCCTTAAGCACCACAAAGCAGCGATTTTCCAAGAAAAATTAAAAAGGACAATTCATTGTCCTTTTAGACCCATCAGCCAAAAGTTCTGGCTTTCTTCTGTTTGATGACCATGAGTGAAACTAATCATCACCATTCCTCCCCCCCACCCAGTATAACCCATAAAGGTAGACCATGGTGGAAAACCTCCAGTGATGAGAGGAAGGTAATCTTTTAGTTCTTAATTCAGCCATTCCCAGCTGAAGACCCTTTGTATACCGTCTACATACTTCTGAATGTGATGGTTTTTCTGTCCCAACATATCTGAGGGACAGCCATTTAAAGAAGTTGTTTACCAGGATGAGTAAAGACTGAATTGTTTGATTAAATCACATCTCGTGATGGAATCCAATGAGGAGGTGAAATCCAGAGCAGTAAGAGGCAACTCAGCCCAGAGAAAGAGAGGGAAGACAACCCCTCCCTAATGGTTCCCAGAGTATATTGTTGATGCAAAGAGTCCCCAGATTTTCTCTAGAGGTATCAGACAGGAAAAAATTAACAGAAGAGAATAACAGAATAACAGAGTTGGAAGGGACCTATGAGATCTTCCAGTCCAACACCCTATTCTGGCTGGAAACCCTCTACCATTTCAGATAAATAGATGTCAAATCTCTTCTTCAAAAAGTCCAGTGTTGGAACAATCACAACTTCTGGAGGCCAGTCGTTCCACTGATTAATTGTTCTAAATTTCTCCTTAGCTCTAGGTTGCTTCTCTCCTTGATGAGTTTCCATCCATTGTTTCTTGTCCTGCCTTNGTTTCTTCAGCAGCAATTTCTTCTCTGCCCGGCATTTTCTACTGGGCGGCTTGGTGCCTTTGCTGCAGACCCAGGTCTTGGCAGCTCCCGCGATGCAAAGTGCCCCGCTGGGCACTTTGCATTGCGGGAGCCGCCAAGCACCGACATTCCCACTGCCCCGGCCTGCAGCCAGCCCAGCACCGAGCGTGGAGGAGGAGGAGGAGAAGAGCAGTGAGTCCTTGTGAGGCCGGCCGGCCAGGCGGGGAGCAGGTCGGGCAGGGGGTGGGTGAGCTGGGTGGCTGGGGAGGGGGGATCATGGCCGCTAAGATGTCCCCCGCTGCTGCCAACAGCAGCTTGGGTGTCCTGGCACCGTCCGAGCTGAAGAAAGTGGAGGATTGTTCGTCGGAGGAGGCGGGGGGGAGCAAGGCGGCAGAGCACGGCAGCGGGGAGAAGCAGCTTGGATGGAGCCAGCCCCCCCCTGCCTCCTCCGACGAACAATCCGGCCGGCACAAGGACTCACCGGTCTTCTCCTCCTCCTCCTCCTCCTCCTCCCCACTCGGTGCTGGGCTGGCTACAGGCCGGGGCAGCAGGATTGTTCGTCGGAGGAGGCGGGGGGGCGAGGTGGCAGAGCGCGGCAGCAGCGAGAAGCAACACCCCCGCCGCTGTGTCTGACAGGCATCTCGTGTTTATGTCCGCCATGAACGCGAGATGCCTGTCGGACACAGCGGCGGGGACGTTGCTTCTCGCCGCTGCTGCGCTCTTGCCTCACCAATGGTAACCCTCACCGCACATCACTGATGGTATCTGGATCAAGCAAACATGGAGCATTTCTCAGGAAAGGAGGTTCTGGGAAGCTGTGATGATGGGATTTTCCAAAAGGGGAGCCTTATATGGGTTTCTCAGCCTACGTTGAATGCA